AAAATTTGTTTAAAAAATAAAAACACAAAAAATGTGTTTCCGTTTTGAGTTTTGAGTTTTTTTTTTTTTACCACCTAACACTAGCCATCACCCGCCACCACCATCTTCCGCCACCACTTTCCACCACCATCTTCCACCGCCACCACCCGTCACCTGCCACCACTTGCCACCACTTTTCACCATCGTCTTCCACCACCACCACCCATCACCCGCCACCTGCCACCACCTGCCACCACCTACCACCACTTTCCACTACCATCTTCCGTTGCCACCACCTTCCACCTGCCGCTATCACCCATCACCCGCCACCCGTCATCATTGTCTTCCGTTACCACCACTCGTCACCACCTACCACTACCGCCTTCCGTCGCCACTCACCCGCCACCACCGTCTTTCGCCACCACCACCCGCCACGCCACCACTCGCCACTTCTCACTCTTTTAGTTTATATTTTTTAAGATGTTCAAACATTTTGTGCAAACTAAACGCGTTTGTAATTTATGTTTTTTTAAAAATAAACAAAAATCAGTTTATAAAATTTTTGTAAATATAAACTGAAAATGTAAGTGTTACCAAACAGGCCCTCAATATTTGTTATTTATAAATTATTTTAATTAGGATTCAATATGATAATTATTCTTACTAAATATCTTAATTAAAAATCTTAGTGTATCAATTTTAAGAAACCCACACAAATACACAAAAAAAAAAATAATAAAAATAAAAAAATCTGTGAAACAACTAAGTTGAGTAGGAAAAGAAGAAGAGTGGGAGATTAAGGAAGTTAAAATTTTCCACCGTTTCATCATTCTATTATTAAGTAAGAAAACCCTCTCAACTCTCTCATTTTTTTTATTGTTGAAATTTTCAGATTATATTTATATGATAAAATGATTAATTTATAGATAGAAATTTTTATATATATGTATGTAAATTTTGTGATGCGTATATCAAATATTTGAAAATATTGATAGTCTTGAAGTCATGGTATTATTGTGAAAATAGGCTTGCATGTGTAGTTTATACCATTAAAGAGAGGATTGAAGAATTTAGTTAGTCCTTAAATTTGTTAGAAAATTTGTACGAATTTTTAGACGTTTTATACTCAAAATTTGAAGATAATTTCTTCTACAAAGTTGTTTAGAATGATATCTACTTCAACCATGAATTTTTGTAACAATTATGGAGTTTTGTACGAATTTATATAGATTTTAAACCAAATCTGGAGCTATAGGCAAATTTTACTATGTGTTTGAAAAATCATTAAAAATTTTATATTAAAACAAATCTGGTAATTTCTAAACAAAAAATGAAATTTGAGAAGTCTAGTTTTATAATAAATTTTTAGATTATGGAATTGATTTATAAATTTAAATATGGAATTAATTTAAGAAAATGTGATAAATCTGTGTCATAAATTTTCTTGAAATTTTTCAGAATTATTTATAATTTATTTTTGGAAAATTCTTTCTGAAAAATGACTATAACATGTTTATTGAGTATTCTGTAGATTTATATGAATTTTAGAGTTGTATAAGTAATTTATTTATAATTTTAATTACGAGTTATGCATTCTGAAAATTCTGACAGATTAAGGAGGAATAAAAAATTATCTCTTCAATTGTTTATTTTGAAAAAAAAAATTTAATATTGTACTAGTCTAATCTTGTAGATTAAAAATCCATGCATGTGTGTTATTATGCTTTGTTGGTATCTAAATTATTATTTCATACCATCGTTTAAATAAATTATTTATTTAAATTTTGTACATTTGTTTACTATTTTGTGACATGTGTAATATTTTATGTTAGGAATTTTAATGAGTTGGTATAACATTATTGGTAATTAAATGTTGAATTATTGTGAATATCTCAACAAGTAAAGAAACACGAAATTTAACCAACGATACATTAAAATTTAAAAGTGATGGGGTGAGCCCGATTTAGAATCTTGTGCAAGTGAGTTACGAACCCTAATATGGCACGGGAATGTATTTTGGCTCTTATCAGTGTAGGCGATATAAGGTTGGTAGTGCGGGTGTCATAACATAAACCGTTCCCTTGTGGTAGACCGTGATGTCACGACTCGGGTATGTAACCCTGGTACGTGGGTATCATTGGTAGTTACAGTAAGTAACGATTTAACATTTGACCAAAGGGGAGTCAGAATTGCCTGTGGCCATTGTTTAGCGGTTGAGTGGAAATAGTGCTTCGCGAGGAGTTACTTAAACTTATCTGATAAACTAAATCTATGTGAAATTAAAAAGAAAGGTTGGCATTTTTCCTTATAATGAAATACTGTTTCCGCTTGCCAGTGTTCTTATTATATATTGTTATTGCTTCAACTGATAGCATTCCTATTATACTTATTAAATGGTGCTTGCTATTCTGTTAACTGCACAATATTCATTAATTGTGAGTATTATTATCGGGATGGATATTTTGGGTTGTAGTATCTTATTGAGCTCATTGCTTGTCACGACCCAAATCCGCCCCTATAGGTTTAGCATCGTAACCGGCCAGTAATCCTTAAATTACCGAAAGCCTCTGAATAGATTAACAAAAATAAAGGGGCTAAAGGAAGCAAATACATAAATATAATTGTCCAATGAGCTGTGCTGACTTATATGAAACAGAATATTTAAAAGTTTATATACATATCCGATAGTCAACCATACATTATACCCACACACATTACAGTATCTTAAGTATAGCCAACTTAATCACATCTAGTCTCATACATATACAAAACCAAAAGGGCTGAACACAGGACACTTCGAAAACCTCTACGTGAGGTGCAATGGTTGGCTGACAACAGAAACACAGTTCCAGACAAAAGCTTTCGGGCTTGAACTCCAGAATGCTCACTTATATACATATATATACAAACAGTGAGCTAAAGCTCAGTGAATAACATTAAGGTAAAGGGGTTAGTGAACGAAATCCGAACATATCAAAAGCGGAAACAGATCATAGCATAATCATTCTCATATCAGAACATAATAATGGTACATCCCATAAAACACATCACAAAACGTCTTCCGACTAGAGTAATCGGTTTCGGGTACCGATTAAACACATATCACCACAATGAAGTGGCTAACAAGATCTCGTAATTACTTATATGTCATGGATCCGCATTTTCATGCCGTCCCCATGACTTGGGACTATCTATGGATGCCATAATAGATTTCAAATTTGGAATGTTCGTTCACGTAAACAGATAACATTTTAGAAATCATAGCTTATCATATTTCATTTGGAACATAATTCATATGAACGTATCTTTACGATAATGTTACTTACAGTGGTTCCAGTAAGCGGTCAATCAATCCTCGAGTCTTGACCTACAATCACAAAATACATAACAAGCATGTCTTATCATTACACATTCATGTGGCCAACACGGCTTAGCTTACTTTACATTGATTCTTGTTCTTTCTTATCCCATAGATGAAAACACACTCTTGAATCTCATAACTTAGTACATTCTTTACTTTAGTGTGTTTCTAATCCATAAT